TCATTACAAGTAGGAATTACTCATGTAGAATGATTGGACAGTCTAAGTGTGCCTGATAGAAGCACTTGAGATTACTAGTCATCACTGACTATTAGAATTTTTGCTAACCACGTCAAGCTACCCGTAACTTCAATCGAGTTTCAACTTTAACACAAAAAGAACAAAGACGAAAATCCTTAAAAGATATTCAATAGAATGGGGAATCTTGACGAGCTGTATCTACATTAGTAAGTGCGAAGGAAAATCACCTTTCAATACATTGAATTACAAACAAATCGATTGCAAATTAACGTAAATTAAGTTTCTAATTAATCAGATTGACTTGTAAATAAAAGATGATGTGTGTTGTGACACATTTAGAAAGGTATTTTAAGTTCAGGTACGTTGATCACGTACAGAGAATCAATGAAAGCAGGATTAAGATTTGGCGCAAGGCTTATTTACACAGTTTCCTTATATCATCAGTCTATGACAAACCACTGCTGTGACAAATCATCCAATGACTTCTCCCTCCTGGGTGAGGCAACGGGGAGTGCCAGACTCTTACTGACTAAGAACTACCTGTCCTACTAATGTATTTCAAGCTGGAGCCCCGGCAACCCGTTAAGTTCTCCGCGGCTCCGTATCGGCATCAGCTCTGAAAGGCCCCATCTGTGGTAGTGATGGCTTTTTGAGGCGCGCGCTAATTGCGACATAAACAGTTTTAGGACCATTAGAAGCGCTTTTTGAGCCTGAGGTTTCCAACTTGTTGATTATACATAACATAACATCATTAACATAACATCACGCCTTTTATCCTCGAAGGGGTAGACAGATGTACACATTATACCACTGTACAATGTAACACCCACTTTTCACTATTTATGTTATAAGTCCAATATAATAGGGGGTGAGCCTATTGCCATTTGCCGGGCACAGTTCCAGACTCCGTGCTACTACTGAGATTTTTTTTAAAACGCAGTAATACTTTGCCTGACCCGGGAATCAAACCCGAGACCTCTTGCCCGGCAGTCGCAATTGCGACCACTTGGCTAACGAAGCAGTCAGTTATTAAACATAATTATTTCATAGTTTGTTTCCTAAATAAAGAAAAAATAAAAAATAATTATATTAAATTGCACTTGAGTCATTAAATATTTTATTCTTAGTTTTGCCCTTATCCCAAGTTAGGTACCTACCGGTGGTCAGTTCACCATAAAATACGTCTTCATCTTCTTTTTTCTTCTCTCAGACTTCTATCACATTCTATCACAAACTCCTTTCTCTTTCATTTTATTCGTTACATTCATATTCCATTGTAACACCACATTTTCCAAGTGATAATTTTCCATCGTCAATGGGAAGCGGCTCTGGCGACAGGTTGGTGCAATGGTGTCATGGAGCACGATCTGGTATTGTACCCTTGTGTACCGTTCAAAGGCAAAGTCACACAACATTAACTATAATACTAACGAAATAGCAATAAGGAAAGTTATGCTTGGCACGACTTTGTTATATTTCATTACTTTTTAGGGATAAACTAGCAGCTCCATCGAGACTTGGCTAGTTTTTTACAGAATGTTTTTGATGGGATTCATCTTTTCTTTTGGTGTCCTCTCTCTTTCATTCTACACTGAAATTGTATTTTTTCACTTCTATGTATTTACGGAAAACTATATTACTCATAGTACTAACAAAGATATAATTATCCTTTAGCTGACCCATGCTGCCATGACGTAGGATGACCAATACACTGCTCTAATTAATTACTGTGTTGTGATGTCCTTAATTGTTATACCGTCATCATGTTTACCATGAATTTATATACATAATATGAAGGGTTTAATGATACTAAAAGGGCTAAGAGACTTATTTACGTAAGTACCTTCATGTACTGACTGCCTCGTTGGCCTAATGGTTGCAAGTGCGACTGCCGGGCAAGGGGTCTCGGGTCCGATTCCCGGGTTGGACAATGTACTACTGGGTTTTTTAATGCTCAGTAGTAGCGTGGAGGCTGCTATTGTGCCCGGTATATGGCAATAGGCTTATTCCCTATTACATGTAACTCATAAGAAAATAGTGAAAAGTGGGTGTTACATTGTATAGTGACATTAAGAAAGAAAGAAAGAAAAAACATTTATTCATCACCAGGCACGATGCAGAATAAATAAAATATAAAAAGACAATAAAAGTGTGACTGTGAAAGTAAGAAAAACATTAAATTAAAAAATTAAAACAGAAGAATTAGAAGAGAGACGCTGACAACATGCTTATGCTAAAAGGGAAGCCAGGCACACAAGTCACCCAGCACTGATTTTCAGTATGCACCCTTGCAGTGACGCACGTATGGTAAAAACGTTATAAAGAAAGAAAACGCAATATTTTATATGATCGTATTGACGTAAACAAACAAACATCTTAGCGATAATCACTCAAATACTCAATGAACAGTCGAGTCGTTGACTTTTTTTTAAAAATAAACTCTGTTATACTGCCAGCAGTTTTTAACAAAGGAGTTTTTATGACAAGTTTGTGATATAACGTGTAATGGACTAGTGAAGGGTACGGAAGCGAATGCTAGTCGATTACCTCATGCATCGAGACAAATAGGTGTGTTACAATCATTGTTTTGTTTGTTTGTAAATAATATTATTCGTTCGTTGCATTAATCGTGACTTTGTGATCCATGCCAGTACGTGTTCCTGGTATATTTTTGTAACTTCCTGATACAATAGGGTGCTATTATTTTGACCTGTCTATCTATATGTCTGATGTGGCACCATAGCTTCTGAATGAATGAACCGGTTTAAGTGATTGTTTCCTTAATGAAAAGTCTTGTTCGTCGCAGATTTTTAGCTGTGTTTTATTAAATCAGATAAGTAGCTTCAGAAATATAGTTAGGCACTTTTGTGAGTAGCTATTTTTTACTTTTTTGCACTCACATTACCTATAATAATTTTTCTAATTGATACATGAGGTTGGACTTGTCTTTTCATTTTATTATTTCATTGTTATAATAATAATAATGTCTGTAGTTCAAACTCAGAAATAAAATTTATACAATTTAATTATCAACTTTAATTTTATTAGGAACTTGATAACATCCTAAGAAAACTTGCAGGTATTTTATATCTATACCCCCACCCACACATACCTATATGTACGTCTGAATGCATTACAGTGACGTTGACAGTTTGACACATACGTCAAAATGTGGTTTGAAAACCGCAAAAAACGTATAATTACCATTAATTGTTTTAATTACAAGCGGTGTTTGTGAATGAAACTTAATTCTGCTCGTTTGTAAGTTATGTATTGGTTAGTTACAGATTGTCGTTATGGCCCGGAGGTTTAAGACGCCCGCTTCTCATCTATGAGGGCTTAGGTTCAAAACCTACCAACGACTAGTACCAATGTGACTTTTTCCGAGTTATATGTACGTTATAAGATTATTTAGACACCACTGACAAACATGGTCAGGAAACCTGGGCTTATAATATCTCTTCTTAAGCTTAAAATCGCCAACCAACTTTGAGCAAGCGAGGTGATTAATGCTCAAACCTTCTCCGTGTCAGAAGAGGTCTTTTGGTCAGCAGTGGACATTTATAGGCCGTTGATGATGATGAGTTTAAAAGTAAATAATGTTAGGTACTTGATGTGTCTAAATAAGTAGAAAGTCAATTTATTATTATTAAAGAAAAATGTAGTATGTAATAGTAAGTGCCTCGTTGGCCGAGTGGTCGCAAGTGCGACTGCCGGGTCGGGCAAACTATTACTGGGTTTAAAAAAATTTCAGTAGTAGGACGGAGTCTGGAATTGTGCCCGGTATATGGCAATAGGCTCACCCCCTATTACATGGGACTCATAACATAAATGGTGAAAAGTGGGTGTTACATTGTACAGTGGCATAACGTGCACCTCTGCCTAACCCTTCGGGGATAAAAGGCGTGATGTTATGTAAATAGCAATTGAAACAAGAAAAGGTTAAATGTTCTCGAGCCCATAAAGTTAAAACAATAAGTGTAATATTTGTTTTATTTATAATACGACATTGTGATATGATATTCCTACCGATAAGTAACTGATTTAGTTTTAGAACCAGTAGGTGTTATAATGAAATAGGTGCTGGAGAAACTAGAATGTAATTGATTTCTATGAAAATTTAAAATCGAATTAGTCCGTCAGTTGGGTAATGAAAAAAATATTAGACACGTATTTTTTATTAGTGGGAGCTAGCACGTCATTTTTGAGCATCTAACGTACACAAAAGTATTTGTTTAAAAAAAAAAAATAACGAATGTAATGTTTTTATTAGTTTAACAGACTGACATTAAAATTAGTCATCTACCCTACCCTACCCTACCACAGTAACTACCCTGATATTTACAGTTATATTTTTTTTTAAAAAGAGGGTCAAAAACCTTTCTTTTTCTCTTGAATGGCAACCGAGTGTTATATTTACATAAATAATTTAAGTTAAACTGTGAAACACCGCGAGGACACCGGTGACCGCAACCTATTGTTCTATAATTGTGTCTATAATGACAGTACGCAATGAGTTAAATATCCTAATGTAATATAGATTATTTTATAAACAAATACTCTTTACATAGTTTTGTACGTATTTAAATTATGCATCTTAAAAAATATTAAAATAAGAATAAAAACATACCTACAAGGTTTACTGTATGCAGTTAGAAGTACCTTCGCATTGCAACAGTTGCCAAGAATAGAATAAAACAAAGAAAGTTATATAGCCAAACATGGATTTATGTTTTGCTTCGTTTATTTAGCTGATATTAATTTGGCTTTATAAATAAATTAATGTACTAAAAAACAATTTAGACAGATATTTTTTTACAGGTACTATAAAAAAAAAAGAATTTATGTCGGAATAAAAATAATGTTTTACATCTTAATTATGAAAAATTAGAAACAGTTAATGTGTAACATCAAGATTTTTAAAATTACATAGTACACTTAATTTTATATTGATAAGAAAATACAAATAAACCACTTACTTCAAATCATCGCACCTCACAGCGTACCCCGCCAAAAATATAAACAAAAAAGTTTTCATTTTTTTTTTATCACGACACAACTCTTTCACTAGAAACTCCTTAAACAATTTTCCATATAAAAACAACTACAATTCACAACATGACATAAAACATTCGAATAAGAAGAAAAAAGTTTGAAAAAAGAAATACGTTTCGCGCCAATTTTGACGCGAGTGTCGAGTAGTGATGTGCGGTCGAGGCGCGCTCTCGACTCCACGTGTGAGTCGATTATGACAATATTAAATACTATAGTGGTCGATTGTCGGTTGTAGTTTAAGAGTCACGGTGGGTTTCGCGTATTTTATATGATACGTAAACATTGTGAATGAAGCTAGTAGTATTACACGGAAATGCTTGTGTGCTGATTAAAATTTAATCGTAGTATTTTTAATTAAGAAATTTAAACTTTAAATAAAAAATGTGTATAATAGACGAAAAACCATTTCACATAAATATCACGCTTTTAACTTAGAATTGACGACAAATATTTGAAAAATTAATTTGAAATGCGACTATTTTTCTTGGAATCGGGAGCAGACTGACTACCCGATGGTACCTACCTAAGCTATTAGCGCCGTACAGGAATACACAATACCGTAGAAGTTATTGATGCGTTACCGACCTTTTCAAAAGGATTTTGACACATTTTAAAGTAATTTATCGATATCTTTTTATATTTATTTACTAGCTTCTGCCCGCGACTTCGTACGCGTAATCCCATTTTTCCCGTCCCCGTTCGTGATTATGGGTAAAAATTTAAAAAAAGTATTGGTTAAAAAGTATCCTATGTCGGTCTCCTAGCTCTAAGCTACCTCTCTACCAATTTTCAGCTAAATCTATTCTGCCGTTCTTGAGTTATAAGTGGTGTAACTAACACGACTTTCTTTTATATATATAGATTGATATATTTTAATAATTTAGTTCTATGACCCAAAAATACAATATCGTCAATGTGTTTCTTAAAGTTGTTTACACAACTATGTAATAACCCGACACAACATCGATAACGCGTCTTATTTTTTATTCGATAAGCGAATTTAGTTAATAACAAAGTGTTCCCCAGAATTATTTCTTTTAATGAGTAAAATTCCATAATAATATTGAGATTCTTCTGTTTATAAATGACGTCATAAAGTTATTTATTACTTATGGACTATTTCTGTCGATGAACGTCGAGGTGATTAAGGACAATTGTGATTCGTGATGGAATTTAGGGAGCATTTGACCTGTTTTGGAATTTATATTTTATAACGGTGAACTTCTACAGTACTAAAATTATATACGTAATATATTACTATATCCATACTTATTATAGCCTTTGATAACGTGAAAATATGCATTTTATTCTTCAAAGGGCTAAATAGAGGAACGATATAGATTCAGTACCTACAACATCCACTTTCCAACAATTTCATAATTATAAGACCACGTAATATGAGGTTGGCTTATTAGCATGCTCGGATATAATATTCCAGATTGCGTGCTTAGTCATAGAATATCTGATAAATTAAAAAATTAAATACTTTACCTTACTAGGAATTGAACCAAATCTTTTTACTATGCAGTCGCAATCGAAATGAATCGACTAACGAGTTAGTGATGTAATATTGTACTAGGTAAATACAGGCATTAATCTATTGTCAATAATAGTTTAAATGAGGATAAAATTAACACTATATGGGTGCAGGTACAGATAAAGAATATGAACGACTTCAGTAACCGTGGGCATGATTTAAGTAAGGCCTATGTTCCAAGTTTGATAACGTTCATTACAAGGCTAAAGAAGTGGCCAAAAAATCAGGAGTGCTATATTGAAGAAAGGATAACCCTAATGTTAGGATAGGTGACACTTAACGACATTTGTGTTTCCATCTATGTAAAAGTATGAGTAAGGGATTAGTTTAGGTGCTCCCTCACGCTAAGTAAGACTTACTTTTAAGATGGTTTAGGAGTGAGTTGAACAGCCATTGTGGGCCACCACTTCGAGATACGTAAGCATACTATTATGAAACCTATATTTCATAGATAGCAAGCATTGTCAATTTTTTTACACAGGTACTTTAGATTTTTTTATGGAATAAGTTGGTAAACGAGCTGACGCATCACCTGATGGTAAGCAATTGGCGTCGCACATGGACACCTGAAACACTAGAGGTGTTACAAGTGCATCACTGGCCTTTTGGAAATTCGGGATTGTGGAGACTGGGGCCTCTGGTAACCTCACTCACACGACGAAACACAACGCAAAAGTATTGTTTCGCGTCTGTTTTCTGCGAGGCCTTGGTATCACTCCGGTCGAGCCAAAGCATGGCTCTCCCACACTTAAATGATAATATGTAACGTGATTAATTAAGATTTTTGACAGGCATATGGTGACAATAAGTACTTTGTATAATGTTAAAAAACTGGCAGTTTTGTATAATGCCCAAATTGACACATGTTTTGTTATAAAAAAAATCTGTTAGGAATACGCCATTGTGGAATTTTACCAATCTACAGAGTTGCCTTGACGTTGAATTATGATGTTTTGTTATTTATTTATTTTTTTTAACTAACAAAACGCGTCATTATGTCAAGTCACTAGCAAACCTAAGTCAATTATATCGATAAAAATATTTTTGATTGAAGAGTGCATCCCTATTTTTGCACACGCGAAACACTCTAAATTCAAAACCGATATTTTTTTTGTCAAACGTGAAGTAAGAACTTACGCTTACTTATTTTGATTAATGTAATATGTACTAATCGGCTTCTGTTCAAAGTAATTGTGCCTGTTTTTTTTAGATCCTGGCTTACAGGAGTTGCAGCGGTTTTGGGAGGTTGTGGCGGGGCTTGTCCCATAAAAAACACACTCATTACTAGGGTTGCCACCCGTACTTTATTATAAAGTATTGTACGTTATTTAAGGTAATTGTACTATATACTTTATAAGAATAATAAAGTACACGAAAATACTTTATTTTTGCAAAATTTGATATCGATATTTATCGACTTATGTTGAATCGATTTCGCCATTCGCCAACGCCACTTAGAAAATTTCTAGTACCTAAAGATGCAATTGTTTAGTATTTCAATGCAATTGTTTAGTAAAGACACTAATTGATGACCGCACGGTTGGTGCGGTGGCTGGGCAACTGGCTGCCGTGCAACGTGTCGTGGGTTCGATTCCCGCACGAGACAACACTTTGTGTGATCCACAAATTGTTGTTTCGGGTCTGGGTGTCATTGTGTATGTGAACTTGTATGTTTGTAAACGCACCCACGACACAGGAGAAAATCCTAGTGTGGGGCAACGTTTTTAAAAAAAAAAAAAAAAAAAAAAATTTAATACAAACTGCAAAAAGCAATAAAAAGTATATTTTTAAATATATTACTAAATAGGATAAAATTGTACTTTATTTTTGTACTGCGTACTTTTTTTTCTTACCTATCAGTCAATATACTAAAAAACTACTAAAATAAAAGGTGGCAACCCTACTCATTACACATTTTTATATTTAATTTTATTTATTCACTTATTCTTTTGCACATACATTCGTGTTATAATGTCAACATTATTTCATATGATGAGGCTAACCGCTTACCATAACGCTACCCGTCTCCTCGTTACTCTTATCCTATAAAAAAGTATGGCAACACAACTATGAAGCATGGCGATTATCAATCAAACAATCAGTTATCAATCCATTCTTTTACAACAAAAACAGCCAATCTGTCAAAGTTCTATATTTCTTTGTCAAACGATAAATAAATAAGAGCCATGACAAGTTAACAAAACCCTTTACAATCGCCATGGAATGTATGCTATACAATACACATGGTATAATGTTAATCCCATAGATAATATTATGATATGACAATACCCAGTGTTGGGGAAAAATGTTTGGTCACGACTTTGGTACAGTCAATGGTCTTAATCGGTGAATGTTGTGGCAAAGTCTTTAAGTTAATAACAATAATAATCATAAAAAATACTGATTGGTATTCACTTATGTGACATACTCACACGTCCAAATATAGATACACACATACACTTACATATACACCTACTACACATAGATAAAATACACACGCACACGCGCACGAACAACACACACTTACTCACTCACCCACTTACATACACACACGCGCACACTTTAACATACACACATATTCATGAATACACAGTCACACACATACATAATACACATTTATATTTAAGCATTATGTTATCTTGTCCTTTTGTATTGTTTGTTAGGTAGCCTGGGAACGACGCAGGGAATCCTAGTATGAGGTCCGGGATACAACAAAATTGTAAAACTTTTTTGAAATAAACATTATTCTTATTTTTATTCTTATTCACATAGATTTAAAGTTTATTATATATTGTGCGTGAATTAGATCTGTGTGATTATGTGTTTTGATATATATATTAATAGTAATTAATAACCCATCTTAGTCCGATATCTGAAGATCAAAATAAATGTTTGATACAAACCCCATACAACAATAACATAACATCATGTCTTTTATCCCAGAAGGGGTAGGCATTAGGTCCACATTACGACACTTAGGTAATGCCACTGTACAATGTAACACCCACTTTTCACCATTTACTTACGTTATGAGTCCCATGTAATAGGGGGTGAGCGTATTATCATATACCGGGCACATATCCAGACTCTTTGCTAGTTGCACTTGTGACCACTCGCCAAACGAGGCAGTCATACAAATAAACTCCATACAACAAATGACGCATATCTTTGTATCGAGATCAGTAATTAGGTAAGCCGATAAGTTTTTATAACGATACGATTATTACTGTATCAGAATTTTCAGTGCCTTTTCTTTTATCAAAAATAAATATATGATAAATATATGCTAAAGTAACCAGTCACAGGACGATAACATACATTGTTTTAACCACTGACTGTACTTCAAACATATCCCCAACATAAATTCAAACCTAAAACAACCCTAACCGAATTCACTAAGGTTCATTATTACACATCAGGACACATCACCCTATCGATTGTTATATTTTCTAGAATCCTACGTGCTCTGAATACGTGTTTACATTGAATGCTAAGTATGGCGGCGGCAATGAAACGCCTATAGATGGCTGTTTCTTTGTCACTTTCTCCTTCAAAGAGAGATTATAATATCTATATAGACAAATAAAATTGGAGTGTTTGTGTATATTAAAATAACTGCTTCTTACTAAATG